TCTGATGTGAGCATCTCGTTTTCTAGGCATATTAGGGTTACGATGGAGGTTGTCATATTCGGGGAAACGAAATTTATTCCTTTCCGAAAATCGAATCTCTTTTCTATTTCGCAAAAAGTTGGCCCCTGAAAGCCGAAATTTTGCGAAGCCTATCAGCATTTCGTTGCTAGGCACAATAGGAGATTGTCACATTCTCGGAAACTGAATTTATTTATATTTTTTTTACTGAAAATCGAACCTTTATCCTACCTTGCCTAGATCTCACCCATAGCATTGTCCATAAGATGCCTCACTGGTAACAGATCGACAGATATACAAAAAAAAAAAACAAAAAAAAAAAACAAAAAAAAAAGGGGTGATCCGCTTCTTTTTTATTTTTATTTTAATTTTTTTTATTCTGTTGATTAGGACCGGCATGGACATTGCAGTTTGGTTGTTTGCCTGAGTTGCCCTCCCACCCAGCCCCCTGTCTGTTTTCTCGCCTTGGTAAGTGCCACTTCAGCGGTGCCATGTCAGTTACAGTGCCACGTCAGTTGCAGGCCACGTCAACAGTGCCACGCCAATAGCAGTGCCACGACAACCGATGCCACGTCAGCAGGGCCACATCAGCAGTACCCCGTCATCAACACCGTACAGCTAACTGCAGCTTATGCTCCGACGCAGCAACCGCATCGCAGCACGAGAAGGGCGGGCAGCCGCAGCAGAACAGCAGCTACCTCTGCCCCACCCCTCTGAAATGGACACCCAGGGCAACCCCACGGTGGACAATGCCACATCCGGCAGTCCACGGGAGGAGTGCAGTTCAAACCCCACGGGCCCACGGGCCCAACAGGAGGGTTCCATTGCGACTTCGGTGGGAACCCTCGACGCTGCACCAGTCTGGCAGCAAGGAGAGACCATGACGGCCTTCTTGGCCCGCCTGGGCACCTATATGCAGCAAGTCCAAGAGGAGCAGCAACGCGAGGCGGCAGCCGAAGCAGCACGCCTTAATGCCATTGCACGCGCAGAAGAGCAACGACGCCGGCACCAAGCTGACACAGCTGCCAACCACAACCAAGCTCAAAGAGATGCCGCGTTTGTCCTCATGCAGCAGGAAGCCGCTCATACTGCCGCACTCCAAGCATGGCATGTTGATCCGGCGGAAACGACGGAACCAACTACGGAGGACCAGACTAAGTCAGCTCTCACCAGCATCATGCACAAAGTCATCCTCACTTGTAACTGGCAACAAGTGGAGCTGGCTCGGCAGGCACGTACCATCACTGAGTATGAGGAAACTCTCAAGAGCCTCCACGCCCGCCTTGACATGCTGGAGAAGGATGACGTGCCGCACAGGCACACGGCATCGTCAAGCATGGATCCATCGATCCGCGAGCTGGAAGGACGGCTGGATCACCTAGTCGCGATGATCGGCAACTTGAACAGTTTCCGACACCCGACGACCATCAGCCAGCAAATAGCCGCCCTACAAGCGGATCTGCGTCAACTGCAGCAGCAACCAACTGGGACCTGCAACAACGTGACGCCGAAACAATTCAAGATGCCGAAGTTCAGCATCGACAAGTTTGATGACTACCACAAAGCGGACCCCATTAGTTGGTGGCAAGGGTTCACCAATGAGCTCTCCATCCACTTGGTCCCGCCAAAGTCGAAGATCTCAGCACTCTACCTCTACAGCACCGGTGCCAGCCAAGTGTGGCTCAACCACCTGGCGTCGAAGCCTCTCAGCTTCACACCAAGATCACTTGGGAGGCCATGACTGAGAAGTGGCGGAAACGCTTCATTGTCAACGACGCTCAGGGCAAAGGCGTGAACCGGATCTTCAGCATGCATCAAGGCAGCCAGCCAACATGCGAATGGCTAACCGAGTGGCAGAAAATCGTGACGATTCTGAATTTGGACATCCCATTCGTACATCTTCGTCACGAATTCTTCCAGCGGTCAGTGGACGCATTGAGCACGACCCTTTGGGAGCGCAGCCTGTACACGGACTTCGACCAGGTCGTGGAGAAGGCGCGCGAAGTCATCCAAACCAATCGGTGGGCAGCCAACGAGCGGCGAAGCCAACCGACTTTTGTGGAAAATGGCAAAGGCCCGCGACCGCAGCAAGTCGCTGCTGTCCAAGGAAATGGACAAGAGAACGACCAGGCGATGAGTCACGAGTCTAGTGAAGGATACGAAGTCAACGCCCTTCTGCCACGACGCAACAACAACAACAACAACAACAACAACAACAACAACAACAACAACAACAACAACAACAACAACAACAACAACAACAACAACAAGACGAAATCTGCGTCAACAACGGAAGCCGGACAACCGAATGAGTCATGGAAGAAGTTCAACCTCACGGAGGAGTAATACAAACTCCGCCAGAGGTGGAACTGTTGCTACTGGTGCAACGGCACCAAGCATACGTCGCAATGCCCTGACAAAGGCAGAAAAGACGTCCGTCCATGGCAAAGCTCGAGAAACTGAGCTTCGTGGGAAGTGAGGCGACTCCACTTCCTACTCCGCCGGACAAGGTGTCCGGCAATGCTTACTATTTCAAGCGTTCACCCTGACCACTCGCTTTTCCTCTCTCGTAGGTCACCCCTGCCGACACTCAGAGTAACCTTGCGAACCACCCTTGGCGTTAGTAGTCTTGGCCACTGTTTACGGGCCCTCGCGTCCTACTTGTTAGGCTTTCYTGGGAGGCCCTAYTGCAGCTCTGAGACTCCCGAGACGAGCCGGTTCGTCTCGCGACCWACTTCGCCAGACCTATCCGCTGCCCTTTTAAAGTTCGYTGTCAGCGCTCGACTTGCAGCTCGAAGATCGAGCAGGCRGAGMAGTTCCAGCCCCCRACTTCCCCACGACTAGACTAGGTGCRAAYAGCTAATTTAAAGTGCACGAGCTTACCACGATTGTGGCTCCGGGAAAGATCGAACTGGAGGTTCTTGTGAAAAGGGTCCGGGTCTATGCTGACCGATTGCAGCGAGAAGGCATCTTGACTCAACCCCGACTGCTGCGAGGGGCAGAAGCTCCGCCGAGACCTTTGGCTTCAGTCCTCAGTGAGGACGCGGCGAAAAATCACAAGCTCGGAGTAACTGCGACTTCGCAAATCGAACCGACAAAGTTCCCAGGCCCAGCTTAACAGCGAACAAACAAAATCCACAAGCTCGACTTAMCTGCAACTCAAAGATCGAGCAAACAGAGTTCGGCAGCTCGGACCAACCGCGACTCGGAAATCGAACGAACAGAGATCACAAGCTCGGCACAATTGCGACTCAGAAAAACGAGCAAGCAAAGTTCGCAAGCGCGGCTTAACCGCGACTCGGAAATCGAACGAACAAAGTTCACATACTCGGCCCAACTGCAACTCAGAAATCGAAAAATTTTGTATGAATTTCGCGGAATCCAATCACAAACTG